ATTTGACAACCATGTGCATGGTTGCCAACGTATAAATAACCCTATCGGCACATCTAGTTTCTTTTTCGGAAATAAAACCTATATAGGCACGTGTTTTTCACGATCCAGGCGTAAACCAAAAGCACGTGTATATTACGGGCAGTTTTACTAGAGTTTAACACGTGTTTTTTGAGGTTTTAAAGTCAAATTTAAATGTCGCATATTTTTATCATTCCTTACGGAAAGTTAATAAAATATAATACTACGTTTCCATAACGGTGAAACCATTAATACTTTAACTGGTATTTATGGTAAATAGTAATAGTTAATTTCACGGAATAAAAACCATTTAGGATACGTGTTATTCTTTTTGTTTTAGAAGGTTTTAAAAACGCAACAGAAACCAAGCGTAACTATTTTCTGAGTTGTGCCGGCTGGGAATAAAATAACGGAACCGTTTTTCCAACTTTTTGTTTTTCTAGAACTTAAAAGTGATAAAAATTTATTGTCGTATGAAAGTCATTTGCATAAACAAAAACATGATACTTTTAACTAACACTTCCTGTTTATAGGACATTAGCAATGGTAACTAATAGCAACAATACCTTAATTGATTAAAAATTATACTTTTTCACATAATTTTTTTTTTTTGCATAACAGCACTTAAACTAGCACTACTGATGAAACATTGAAAGGCCTCTAGTGTTAAATATATTTTGTAGTATTTTGTTAAATATCTTTTTAGAAATATAAAAAACTTTTTCTGAAGTTGCGATTTTGCTTGACGTACACTTTTCATTATATTGGTTAAATTATATTAAGAGTAATATATATATATATATACATATATATATATATATATATATATATATATATATATATATATATATATATATATATATATATATATATATATATATATATATATATATATATATATATATATATATATATATATATATATATATATATATATATATATATATATATATATATATATATATATAAAGTTTAAAAAAAAATTAGTTTATACTAAAATTAAAAAATGATTTATGCAATATTAATAATAACACCAACTTAAAATTTTTAAGTGCATGCGTTTTTTAATCATGTTAAAATGAGATAATTTGACGCAAAATTTAAAAGCTCCTAACAGTGAATTGCAATTACTTTAAGTTTTTTTGGTTTAGTTGTTTTTTGAGCTGACGTCTATTGCAGAAAAAAGTTTCAAAGAAAGACCTTCGTTATATACATGTAGTAACTAAATTTCGAAAAAGTTTTCTTGAAGTTCTAAACAAACTGATCACAAAAAAAAAAAAGTTCCCAGATTTGCAATAACCGGATAATTGAGGTCAAAGTTTTGGTTTATATAGAAATCATCTTTTAGTTTTAACCAGGGCGGTTTCTATTAAAAAAATAAAAATGACTTTTTTCTTAATTATGGCCAAATAAATTATAATTTTGATTTCAAATTTAGTTTGTATATTCTTTAGTTAACTACCAAAAGTACCTTAAAGTTTGATTGCTTTTTGATATATGTAGCCTAGGTTCTAGACCTTTTTTATTTTTGATTTGTTTTCTTGGGAGACTTGCCATATGCCATTTTTATGCAATGTTTTAAAAAAGGACTGTAATTAAAACAGAAATATTGTTTACCAAATTTCCTATATATACTACTGCCACTGATGTTTATCTTGCAGTTTGATTTTTTGATTGCAAAATCAAAAAATATCAAATAATAAATGATTTTTATTACAATTTATTAATCTAATCTAAGTTGCTACCATTATCAGACTCAGATTCATAGGATTCATCTTATTGGCTGAATCATCCACTTCTTAATGGTTATCATAATGATTTACATGTGCAAAGATCTGGGCAAAGTACACAAGCTTTATGACAAGAACAACTTCTTGTGGAAGAATCAGCGCCAAATCTGGTGCAGCAGGCAATTTTAATCAAGATATGGTAATTGAACCTTGATCATTAAACCAACCATTCCCAAAAGGACTAGGTGAGTTATTCACTGCTAAATATGATCGTTTTTTGATAAAAGCTTTATAATTAGCTCAATTAATGTGTAGAACAAGCGAATCTTTATTTGGTTGTAACGCCTCTTTGCTGAATTTACCAGATTTAAGCGGAATTAATTGATTCTTCTTGTTCAGCCCCGTATAAGTCATAGACATATGTTTTCAGTATATTTACTAGTTCATCAGATGGTGGTACTGAATCATCTAAAGTTTTAAGAGCATCTAAGTACTTGCTTTTTTCCGTAGCGGAAATAATTTATTTGAAAAAAAATGTCCACCAGAAACGGTTTGCATTTTTGAAACCACAATACTTTGAACAGGGCTAAAATGGCAGGTTATGGATTTTTTATGTTTAAAATAGGTAATTTCTAGAGGTGGTGCAAACTTTAAAATTTATAATATTGATACTGGTATCAAAGAAAAATGTTTTACAAAAAATTGCAGTCATAGGAGCCTAGGAACAATATACACCTGAAAATTGGGACCCA